GCTTGTATCCAAGATTTATGGGACGTTGTTTGCCATAAACTTTTTTGTTCACAAGCTCAAATTATTTAAATAAAAAATGAGAAGTTTATAAAATTTAAATTAGAGCAAAGAAATAATATTTTTGGTTTATTTAATTTGCTATTAATTTATTATTACAGTGAGAATAAATATAGTACGTATTTAAAAGTGATTATTAATTTATTCTTACTATAGTGAAGTTGATTAATTAAATACAAAATAACTATATACGTAGTCATATTTCAATTATAAACTCGTCAATTTATAAACTCGTCAATTAGTAAAGTAATATGTGTTACTTAAATTATATGTACAGTATTATAATTTTGGTTAAAGGTAAATAAATAAATATATAAAATCAAAAATAATGGAAATTCACATTATAATTTATTTTATATTAATTGATAGTGAAGTGAATATAAATGCCAATTACAGAATTATGCTAAGTTTTTACATCGCATTTATGCTTATATTTTCATACCCATAAACCGTCTCACGTCGGTTCAATTGGTTAGCATTGTATAAATTAAACTTATCAGCAAATAAATGAATTAGTGAACCTCACATGTTCACATTATTTATAATATGATGCGTGTGTCGTACTATCAGTACTATCTGCTTTTAGACAGATTTATCCAAAATTTTTTCTTTAGATTCAGAGTCTTATCCTGGGGTCATCCGTCTCTTGTTCTTTAACGGAGTTCGAGGACGAATTTAATCTTGACGGATCTTTTTACACCTTTAATCACACCCTTTCTTTCCACTCAGTTGCTTTATGTTTATGGTGTTTTCTAGTTCGCAAGGACTTAGGACTCAAAGTTATAGTTCAAATTCTACAATGAAACGCAGTAGCGATTACGGAAATCAAAGTCACGATAATAGTATTAAAAAGCCACGTTTCGCAGGACAAGGTTACAGCAGTAACTATTCTTTACCAGGAGGTATGAGAAGTGACCTTGCACAAGGGTCTTCTAATACTGATATATATTATCAAAATCCACCGGTTGGTCCATCTTCAATGATGATGAGCAATCCTTCCTACTCTCAAGGTACTGCGGGGTTTCACCATCATCCTGGACATTCAAGTGGTCATTTTGCTAGTATGAATGCTTACCATCAAGCCGTCCCCTCTCAATACGCAGCTATGAATCAATTTTCTCCCAGCGTCAATAGTATGGTCCCTCAATTTACCAGTGCTTTCTCTGGCGCGCAGTTTCCTTCCTCTTACCAACAAGCAGCCGTTAGTAACGCTACTGCAAACGCAACTGGTCGCACTGTATATCTCGGAAATCTTCCGGCGGAGGTTGATATCGAAGAAATGATGAACCAAGTTAGAGTGGGTCCAGTTGAATCGGTTCGAATCCTTAATGATAAGAGTTGTGCCTTTATCTCGTTCATGGATGGTGCAGCAGCCATGTTATTTTATCAAGATGCATCAGCGCGTAAAATAGTTCTTAACGGTCAAGAACTTAAAGTCGGT